CCCGCCCCTCGCGGCGGGCGACGCCGCCTCCAGCTTTCCATCACTGCACTCCGCGGTTTGTTTCACTATTTTAACAGAGGAAGGGGGACAGGCGGCAGTGCCCGGGAGGCGAGAGAGGGGCGCCTCGGGGGCCGGGACGGGTGGCGTGGGGGTCGAAGTGCCCGGCCCGGCACCGCCCCTCTCGGTCTCGATGGGAGGGTGAGCCCCACCCGCGCCGCTCCCTCTCCACGCGGTCCCCGCTCCGCATCCAGGTGGGGCGAGCAGATGCTGAGACAGGAGATTTAGGAACTGGCGCTTCACTGGGCCCCCAACTAAGGGGTGTTTCTCTGCAGGGCGCGGTCCCTCTAGCTCCGGTGCTGCCATCCGGGAGCGTGTTCTCCGTCCAACAAATTCAACGCTGACTTGGCCTTTGTCAATCTTTTCTTCACCACACTCCCCAACCGATGCTCAAGGGGGGGGGGGGCTGTGGCCCCCAGGGGGCCGAGGAGGCTTCTAGCGCCCCAGCGTCCCCACCCCCCGAAGGAAGGGCTGGTGCTGTGTCATCCGCATCGCCCTCCGCGGCATCGGGGAAGCCACATGCAATATCTCTTTCTCTCAGAGGGCTCCTGTTTCAGCTCCGAGAAGCAGGGGCCTCCCAGGAGCCGCTCTCCATCTCCGCAGCTCCCACCACCACGCTGCGGCCCGGGCTGCTGAGGCCCAAGTTATCACAGGGCCCAGGGCAACCAGGCCTGGGCTAGGCTTCCTCCGCAGAGCAGCTGACATGTTTCCAACTGTTAATACTTTTCGTACTGAGGTTCTGAAAGGGCCTGTTCTCAGCCTTTGGAAACAACTTCAGACAGATAAAGGGTGACTGTGGTTGTGGAAAATAAACACCACCACACACCCCAAATCCTAAAGACAAATATGCCTCTTAACTAGTTGCAGAGAATACTACTGTAGAATTACGCATTTTAGACGAGTTAGGCAAGGTGATGTTATACACACAGAGAGCTTGCTACTCTACTATGACCTTTGACCCTGACTCCACCACTGCAGCTCCTCTGAGGACACCTGCACACCACACAAAGTTTTAAGTCCAATCATGGGCCTTTAATTTGCAGCCTTCAGTGGAACTCGAGTTTTCAGGGCTGCAGGCAGAAGTGTCCGTCTAGGCATGGACTAAGTGGATGGGTTCTGGCCAAGAGAGAACTCTCTAGAACCAAGCAAAAGCTCATTACCTCTGACTTGAGATAAGAGGGCTAGTCCACTGCCCAAGAGGGAACTAATTCAGCTGGCTCTTTCTCTGACGTCCAGATTCATCAAAACTAAGTTTTCAGAACCTGTTATGTTTCCCATGGTCTACTGTTTACTGAGGAAAACTCTACCCAAAGAAGCTGTAGCACTTGCATTTTTCTGAGTCTCTCCCTACCCCCACCCCATCTCCCCAAGTGTATTATCAAATGCTTTTTTGAAGACGGACCTGCCCTGGGAGGAAATGGCAATTCTCTAAACAGGCGTAATAGTTCACAGTCACCACAGAATTGGTGTCTGGAGCTTCAAAGTTGTAATGTGTTCTGAAGAGAAAGCAAAGGAAGGGCCGTGTGGGGAATGCTACTTTATTCATTTGCCCTGCCTTGGATTCAGGAATTAGCCTTTCCTGGTTTCCCCAATCACTGGTGGGGTTTGAGTGGGAACAATATCAAAGTTGGAATTTTGCTTGTGATTTAACTTATTCTGTAAAATACATTACACTTGCAAAGCTACATTAATTTTCATGACAAATCACCACCTTTATAATGTCACATAGATAACACTGGCAACTAAAAAGAGAGAGAAACCAGTATAAAAGTAACTTTTAAAAATTGAATTCTAATGATTCTGGGTCCTATGTTCATCTTTTCTAGCTAGCTAATAAACTTGCAAGTCAGATAACCCATTGAAAGATCTGTTTGTTCATATTATGTATAAATATCATTTATCTGACAAATATCAAATATCTAATAGGTAAAAAAAAGTCATACTATCAAAACCACAATGAAATGCTACTTCACATCCACTAGGACGGCTACAATAAAAAAGACAGATCATAAGTGCTGACCAGGGTGTGGAGAAACTGGAACCCTCATGCATTGCTGGTGGGAATATAAAATAGTGCAGCTGCCTTTAGAAACAGCTTGGTATTTCCTCAAAATGTTAAACATTGAGTTACCACATGACCCAGTTATTTTACTTCTAGGTACATACACAATAAATAAAAACATGTCCACATGAGAACTTGTACTTGAATGCCCATAGCAGCATTATTTATAATAGCTTAAAAGTGGAAACAGCCCAGATACTCATCAACTGATGAATGGATAAACAAAATGTGGACTATCCATACATGGAATATTATTCAGCCATGAAAAAGGAAGAAAATACCAATATATACTGCAACATGGATCAATCTAGAAAACATGCTAAATGACATAAGCCAGGCCCCAAAGGACAAATATTATATGTTTCTGTTTCTATGAAATGCCCAGACTAGGCAAATCTATAGAGACAGAAATTAATGTTTTCCTAGGGCTGAGGGTTTGGGGGGAAATGGGGATTGAGTGCTCATATGTACAAGGTTTCTTTTTTGGGGTGATAAAAGTGTTCTAAAATTGATTGTGGTGATGGCTGCACAATTCTTAATATTATAAAACCATTGAATTGTATACTTTAAATGGGTGAATGGTATGGTATGTAAGTTATATCTCAATAAGGCCGATATGTATTTACATATATGAAATCGCTTTAGGTTCTATAGTGGAGATATGATACAAAAATGGATAATTTATAACCCATGCCTTAAAAGAGTTCATAATCTGCCCTAGCTGATTTTGCTCAGTGGTTAGAGTGTTGGCCCGTGGACTGAAGGGTCCCAGGTTCAGTTCTGGCCAAGGGCACGTACCTTGGTTGCAGGCTCAATCCCCGGCCCAGTTGGGGTGTGTGCAGGAGGCAAT